AAATGAAATTATTTGATTTCCTGTTGCATTACTTAACCTATTTTTTATAACAAGTTTCATTAAATCTGAATATGCTTTATTGGGAAAATTTTCAAAGGATTTTGCAAGTATAATAGGTTCTTCATAATTATCAGAATCTTTTGATATAAAATTATTTTGAAATTCCTGATCCTTTGGAAATTAATTACAATCATCAACAATATCTAAAGTAATCTAATAAAATTGAAAAATAAAAATATATTCAAAAATAAATATCAATAAAAATTATAAACCTTTCTATCATTTTTGAAGACCTTGAAGTATTTAAAGAAATTCTACGAGTTAATTGATGTAACTTATTTGAGCTTTCATTAAATTCATCACTAGATTCGATCATCAATATATACTTGTTAACATGCCTAGAATAATTTGAACGTCTAGAGAAGGTACATTGACAGAATGCACATTTGAAGGCCATTTTGTGATGCTATGAAACACTCCGGAGGTTCGTTGTGACTAAAGTTTTTTATAGTCAATAAAATAAAAATATTTTTAGTCAATAAAAAAAATTTTTTTTTTAGCCAATAGAAGTTTAATCTAATACGTAAATTATGATGCGATTTTATTTAATTCTGAAGGCTTATGAGCTCATTTATGATACGTTGAACTTGTAATAATTAATGACATAACAGAAGAATACAAAGGTGTAATTATGATATATTTTTTTTGAAAATCTTTATTATAAAAAGCTTCTAAATGTTTTAAACTTTTTCTTTAAAATGTTTGATCAAAAACAAGTAAGACGTAATATATTTAATTCCTTAATCCTAGGTACTAAAAGAAAGGAGAAGAGTAGGGAAGAAAACGAGGAAGCTCCAGAGGGTTCCGAAAAGAAAAAAAGATGTATTATTATACCGCCTGCCGATTTTGAAAATTTCGAAACATTCTTTGATAAATCAAGGAAGTCTGGTAATACTTCGCCGAAAGCTTCAGATGTCTCTGTTCTTGTTCACCAGCTGTTAGCTTGGGAAGAATCTGAAAGAGCTTCAGGTATTGTAAAATTGCTTTAATATATACTTTTTTATTAATGCTAATTAGAATTATAGTATCAATAAAGATCTTTGAAAGGATTGTGGAGCAAAATTCTTTGCTTCTCAAAAAAGTGGATTCAGTGATTGAGCGCCAAAAATCGTTGGAGAATAAAATTACTCGTCTAGAAAATGAGTTGCATTTACACCAAAACATTGTAACTGAAAAGGATTTTATTGAGGTATATAAGATTGCGAAGATTTTTGAAATTATTATATTATTATTTTTTAATATTATTT